GAAGATAAGGTTAGCTGTATAGCCAACCAGCTGACCCAATGGATAAGCATATTTTTACAAACATGGACAAAGTAAATGTTAATGTTAGCTTTTGATTTAGCTAGCTAATGCAAAGCTAAGGCTACACGCTAACTCGGCACAATGCACCTTATAAGTTGCAGTAACGCTAATAAATATTCTTAAACTTGCCTGTTGAAATCCCAGACACAGTGCCGTCCTCGGTACTCTTTGATGAGGCGGAGTCCGGTGGTGGATATTTTTGAATCACTCGGAGTCGGCTCAGGTTTTGCGCTGCTCACTGGCTGCTGAGAGGAGGAGGGCTGCTGAAAGGAGGAGGGCTGCTCTGGCTGCAGTCCGCTCCTCTTGCAGTCAAACACTGTACAAGCTTCGGCTCTTAAATTGATTCCGTGGACTATCAGGTGCTTCATCAAATTAGTCGTGTTGCCAGACTTAACAACAACGTCTTTTTTGCATATATTGCATTTCACAATGTTGGCATCAATTTTAATGAAGTGAAGCCACACTTTTGATCTAGGTGGCATTTTTAAGCAGTACAATTATGCTCGCGACCAGTTCAAAACAGATACACACGTGAACCCCCTCTGTCGGCGTAACCACGTATGTGCTTTTCCTGGGTGACGCAATCACGTTTAACTTTACAGCCAATCACCAAAACTTGGTACCGAAAGACGAGGCATGTTTCGATACTCGGTAGAACCGAAGCATTTCGGTCGGTACCATAAAAGAACCGAAGTTCGGTACCCAGCCCTAATCTGTGGTGAGCTACGGTTTCCGATAGTCTCACCTGTCTCACCACGGTTCTTTGAAAATGGCAGAGGGTCTTAAGAGAAAGTGTATGAGAAGAAAAGAAAGACCTCAGAAGAGGCAGATATATCCCTGAATATGTAGCGCAGAGAGTTGTACTAAATGAAAAACATTTTTGCATACATTTTGTGTGTATAAAATGACAATAAAAGTTGTCTAAGTATCACACTATTAGTCTTTGCACGTCGTGGGGTGTCCGGAGGAGGATCATTTAGACATGTAGCCTCTCTGAAAGTCTTATTTCTTGCATTTTGAGGTTGAACGCAGTTAACTTTATGTCTTTGTTAAAACACCACCTTTGCCCTGATTATGAGAAGGATGTGTGCTTGGCTAGAAGGGTAAATTTCATAAGAAAGGCATGAGATCATTTTAAGGTACATATATTTCATTGGTTAATTCAAACAATCAGAAAGTGTAATGCCTTTCACTGAGAATCCAGAATTCGCCTCTTGGGTGTTTTCCCATGTTGTTTGTGGAAGCTGGAAGTAGATGTTTGCGTTTTTCAGGTATTTTGTACAAACTGCAGGCACCAGAATAATAAAAGCAAACATATATTGCTGGGAGATTTTGACATTTTGTGTTAATTTAGGCATTAATAAACAGTTTCAGTGGAGCATGGTGCATGGTGGAACAGAAGTAGCACTGCCTGTGAAAGGACCTCCAACCACAAATGTATATATGTCTAGACAAACTGTTAGAAACTGACTCCATTGAGTTGTGTGAGGTCCCAAAGTACACAGATGGGGGTTGTGCTCACAGGACAACAATGCGCAAGACACTTAGCATTTGCCAGAGGACACCAAGAATGGCAAATTACCCACTTGCAATCTGTGCTCTTCATAGATGAAAGGAGGTTCAAACCTTGCATGTGACAGGCCGGAGACACTGTGGAGAGCGATCTGCTGCCTGAAACATCCTTTAGCATAACTGGGGAGGGGGCTGCCACTTTGCCAGACAACAGTGAAGCATGGCTGGTCTTTTATAACCTGTGATTTTGATGTCAGAGCTTCAGTTCATGCTGTGAGATGTAGTTCCAATCTGTTTATATGTAGTTAGATCAACACAAGGATGATTAAAGTGAATTGTCATTTCTTTAACCTACAATAGAACATCTTTCTGTTGTTTGTCTTTCTAGACCACCTGCAGGATTATGTTGGAAATGAGGAGGCTTTCTCTGATCAGCAGCTCTGTAAACAGGAGAGAGATTCCAGTTTGGACCAAGAGGAACCAGAACCTCTGCAGATAAAAGATGAGCAGCAAACGGCAGAACATCCCTGGACAAAAGAGGAAACCATTGAGCTGCCAATAAGTGAACTTGAAGAGCACCCTGTTCTGAAGCAGGAGACTGGTGATACAGGAGAGGCACTTTTCCCATATTTGACAGATGGAGAAAACTCTCTAAAAAAAGAACATTTAATGGTTCACATGAAAACTTACACAGGTCAGAAGAATTATGAATGTCTGTCCTACAGAATGAGCTTCCCCTTTGAATCTTCTCATAAACGCATCAGAATACACAAAGGTGAGAAGCCATTTTCATGTACTATATGTGGCAAAAGCTTTACTCTTAAAAGTCTTTTGCTTTCTCACAACAGAATCCACACAGGCGAAAAACCATTTTCTTGTAAGACCTGTGGAAAAAGCTTCACTAAAAAATCTAATCTTAATAAACATATCAGAATTCACAAAGGTGAGAAGCCTTTCCTCTGTAAGATTTGTAGAAAAAGTTTTACTGTAAAACGTAGTTTGATTAGACACATTAGAACTCATACAGGTGAGAAGCCTTTCAAATGCCTGTCTTGTGGAAAGAGCTTCACCTTTAAGTCTGTTCTTGATAAACACAACAGAATTCACACAGGGGAGAAGCCTTTCCCATGTACAATTTGTGGCAAAAGTTTTGTTGTAAAAAGTAATTTGACTTCTCACATGAGAACTCACTCTGGTGAAAAGCCTTTTGAATGCCGGTCCTGTGGAAACAGTTTCACTCAGAAATCTCATCTTGATAGACACATTAGAATTCACACAGGTGAGAAACCATTCTCCTGTACGATTTGTGGCAAAAGTTTTACTAGAAAAAGTAATTTAATTAGTCATATTACGACTCATGTGAGAAACATTTTTCATCCATGAAAAGTGAAACTATCTCTAAAGAGAAATTTAGCCTTTTATTACCGTATTTTCACGACCATAAGGCGCACCGTACTAAAAGGCGCAGTCTCAGTTATGTGTGCCATTTCTGTATTTAACACACACATAAGGTGCACTGGATTATGGGGCGCATTTTTTATATACAGGTACATGTCCTCTACTACCTTTAAATACCTCTACTGCGTATTTAAAAAT